ATGTACAACCTAGTGGAGCGGTAAATAAGTTACAACTACAACTACGCAAAAACTCGACTGCGAAAAAGAACTTCAAAGTAAAGCAGCTTACTTCAGCAACTTCTTCGCTGGTTGGCCAAATGTCCCTAAAGAATACTTTCTTTCCATCCTTTCCCACCCCAATAGGTTCACTTTCAAAATCAATATCCACCTGCAAAATGTTCCTAAAGTTATCTCACGTCGGTTGGGGAGGCGAACGAAACATTCTTTATAAATATGTGGAAACCTCTCCCTAGCATACGCGTTTTAAAAATCTTGAAGGGAAGCCCGAAAGGAAAAGCCAAAAGAGAACAATATCTGCTAGCGATGGGCTTAGGCTGTTACATCTACCGTCTTTCACCATTTCCAATACAAAAGAGAGATAGGGAGAGAGTTGTAGAAGGTACTTACAGTGCCAGCAAGAGCATAGGCAACCACAAGAGGAGGAGAAGCAAGGTAGTTGGCCCTCGTTAACGGGTGCACACGACCCTCGAAATTTCTATTTCCCGACAGTACAGCTGCAGCAACTACATCTGGACATTCAAATATCATCAACAAAGTGGTTAGTATAATACCTGAAAACAGTACCACAATCCACCTACTGCAAATGGTTACCATTTTCGGTTATTGCCGAGGCAACAGATTCATCAATATCTCCTGAATTCCCAATACATGTGGTACATCCATACCCAACTATATTGAATCCTAGCTGATTAAGATACTTTTGCAAGCCACTGCAGATGAAAAAATGTAGTCACAAAAAAATTCCAATTCTTTTGCAACCCTCCATACGGGATACGAGTAACTCTCTCTCGAAGAAAGTAAATATAATACCTCTGTGCCAAATATTTGGTCACGACCCCCGAGCCGGGAGCAAGACTAGTTTTAATCCAGGGCTTAACCTGATAACGGAAGTCGAAATGAAACGAGTTGCTATGAGTTCAACATTGAGAGAAAGCAATCATATTAATAGTGGGAGAAATCAAAAATCTAACCTCTAGCCCAAGCTCACAAGCTTTCTTAGCCACCAAAGCAGCTCCAAGCATAACACTTGGGTTCGAGGTATTCGTGCAGCTGGTAATAGCTGCAATTACGACATCCCCGTGCCTAAGCTGGGCTGGGGATCCATGAAAACTGAACTCTGCAACCTTGGCTTGAGCTTCTTTTGGTATGGCAAACCCCTAAATCATCATTATATTAGTATAAAAAGATTGGTGAAAATAGAAGTGATGGATTTAGAAACGTGGAGTAAATCCCATTAGCTCGAACTTTATATAGGGAGAAAAGTAATAGATGGTCTTGGTTTTCTAACTGGCGTTACAAATGGTGTGCCAGTGAGGATGCTGAGCCCCAAGGGGGTGGCTTGTGAGATCCCACATCGGTTGGAGAGTGGAACGAAACATTCCTTATAAGGGTGTGGAAACCTCACCCTAACAGACGTGTTTTAAAACCGTGATGCTCACAACGATACGTAATGGGCCAAAACAGACAATATCAAGAACCAACGACGCCGAGGTAAACATCCTTCACCTTGAATCCAACTCTATTGTCGAGGCATGCATGCCAATCTGCTTTCATTTCTTTTAAGGGAACTCGATCGTGCGGTCTGCAAAATCAAGAGGAAGAATATAAGTTCAAATAATGCTAGATTAATATTCTCAATCATACACAAGTAGTTCTAGTATAACGTAAACTACCTTTTTGGACCTGATATGCACGGTTCAACGTCCGAAAGGTTCAGTTCAATATGAGAGGAGTACACTCGTTCAACTTGAGGCTGCGTTAAGTAAAGTCTAACTCAGACATGAAAAGGTTCTAATATCGAGCGATTTAGTGCTCGTAAGGTGCGCGAATGACAAAGAAGTAAACGAGGATATTTCATATTCACCTCACTGTAGTCCACGAACATCTTGTTAGCTCGCAGATACGATTCTATCATAGAAATCTAAATGATAATTCCCAAGTTAACACAATGAACAAAAGCAAACATGAAGAACGTCAGTACGAGCGTTTACTAACCGTTTCATCTTTTCTTCCGGTCAGTTTTAGATACTGCAAGGTGACATGGTCCACAGGAAAGAACCCCATTGTTGCACCGTACTCGGGAGACATGTTGGCAATTGTGGCACGGTCGGCCAAAGACAGTTCACTCATACCTTCCCCTGCAAGGACCATAATCCCATTAATCTCTTATAATAACTACTTTCAGGCACGTTAGTTGCACGTTTTCATTTCTTGTATCGTTATATGCTTGAGAAGTTCGATTCGGCTTACCATAAAACTCCACAAACTTGCCAACAACACCATGGTTCCTGAGCATTTGAGTTACAGTCAAAACCAAGTCCGTAGCTGTTACACCATTTCTCAGCTTTCCAACTAATTTAAAACCAACGACGCCAGGCAAGACCATGCTCATGGGCTAAAATCGAGGAGAAAAACGAAAGACGAACGACGTCAAACGCTTTCCAGCAAGATACCAAAAATATAAGAACAAGTACAATTTCTCTACCTGTCCAAGCATTGCAGCTTCTGCTTCTATCCCACCGACACCCCAACCAGCAACACCCAATCCATCGATCATCGTCGTGTGTGAATCGGTTCCCACGACACTATCAGGATAAAGAACGCCATTTGTGTTGAATACTACTCGGCCAAGGTACTCCAGATTAACCTGAAACATGATAACATTATTTGATCATCGCTATCGACAATCATGAATGCTAAAGCCTTATAAGACGTGTATACGTTTACCTGGTGAACTATACCAGATCCTGGTGGTACGACAAGCATGTTATGGAACGCACTCGATCCCCATTTCAGAAAACCGAACCTTTCTCTGTTTCGTTGAAACTCAAGTTCCATGTTTGCTTGTACTGCATTTTCTGTTTTCGCTACGTCAACCTGAACCGAGTGGTCAATGACAAGATCTACTGGAACCTGCACTCATCGCATTCATACGCCATAACTCAGTGTTCAACCGTTCGCGTATCAGCTAGAATCGAGTACGATTGACAAATGTACAGAACAAGAATTTAAGTTGCTAACAGCTCACCAATGGATTAATCTTGTTCGAATCACCACCGAGCCTGTTCATCGCATCTCGCATGCAAGCAAGATCAACAACAGCAGGCACACCAGTAAAATCCTAAATGAACACATTTTTCACACATCAAAATCAGAACACAGATCCATGACCAATTTTCAGAAACAAAATGCTGACCTGAAGCAACACTCTAGCAGGTTTGAATGGAATTTCAACCAGTTTGGGAGCGGTGTTCTCCCAGTCAATAATCTTCTCGACATCGTTCGCCTTAACCGCAAACTCATCGCAGTTTCGAATGGCCGATTCAAGAAGTATCCGAATCGAATATGGCAGCTTCTCTGCCAAAGAAACATCCATCCAACAATCAAATTTTCAACCTATTATACTCAAAGCATAGAGAATCAAGTAAAGCTTTCAACGAATCCCAGAAAAGTTGTGGAAAGAAAAGCTCCGATTCAATGATTCGAAAGGGAAAAGTTACAACAACAAAGACAATCAAAGTTCATATGAATCAAACAAACAGTAAAAGAAAAGGCAAGAACACTCACCGATTCTAGGATCGTTCAGAGCAGGCAAGCTATAGTACTTTCCAAACACACCCCCTTCAGGATTCTCAAGAGTCTTCAAAATGCTACTGAAAGGGTTTTGAATCGCTGTAAAAAACCCAACAAACCCAAAATCAGAGATAAAAAACAAAGGAGGCCCCAAAGGAAACCGAAAGCAAGCCACAAAAAAGAAAGATCGATTTGAATCGAATAGTAAGTACCCATTGATGCGATGGATTAGAAGCTCCACCAGCAAAGAGAGTTGAATCAACTAAAGAAACCAAGGCAGGAGGAGGAAAATAAACGGAAGGAAATCAACAGGAGAGAGAGAGACGAAGGCGGCGCAAGAAATGTGGAATATTATACGTAGCGGTTAGCCATTTTATATGTCTCTATGGGCCTCCGGGTATCGCTGAGGCGCAAAAATCAGTCACAAGTGAGCAGTCGACGCCTCTCTCAAATCTCAACCCCCCAATTCGCAGTAGATTTGGTGCACTTTGTGTTCTTCCTACAGTTTTCTCCAGATTTTAACATGGGTATGCGTTTGATTTACTTTTCACCAACATCATTATGCATTTTGAAGCCAATTTTTCGTCATTGTTCTTGATGGGAAACTGGGATTTCTAGATATAAAGCGTTGATTTCTGAATCGATGAATGGATGAGGATAAGATTATTGAGTAATTGATAAGAAATAGAGTGAATAGACAATTAACATATTTGTTAAAAGGAATGTTGAGGACATTGAAAGATCCATGAAGAAAGGCGATCGCTTTCAAGTTCATAGATCGAGGATTTAATCTGAATCTGCCAGCGAAGGCGGCTTTTGGTACGAAATTTAATTTTAATATCTTGTGATTGGCCAATGGTCGGGGGAAATTGGTACGCCCTCCCAAACGTAGATCAGATGTCTTCCCCTTATACGTGGCATTGCTTAAAAAATTTCGATGCTACCTCCCATGTAAGTCTGGGCGTGTGTCAATTCCGATGTGGTTATTATCCTCTTGAACCAATCAGATTTCTCTTTTTTGCTCCTCAACGACCAGGGTCAGGGTATTAGCAGCCATCTCCAAGATTGGTTTTTATGTGTTACTTACCTGTTATAATCTGTTAAACAATGAACTCAACCATAAATATGGTAGTTGTTGATTCAAAAATTTACAAAATAATAATAAATATGGTAGTTGTTGATTCAAAAATTTACAAAATAAAATTTTATTATTAAGAGGTCGATGAGGAAGCTCACTTCAACAAGAAAATCGACATATCTTCGACCCGAGGAGGTCGATGGAGTTTGAATTTTCTGAAAGCCTAATGAGCATTTTAGGTATCAGATTCAGGAAGCTTCATATCGGGATGGATAGTTGTGCGTTATCTGTCCGAGACTGCAAATAATGAACAAAATAGAGTACTTCTGTTCAGATTAAGCTCCTATTTTCCTGGTTCTTTCATTTACTTCTGCTCAAACTGTTGGAAACTACATAGAGTACTTGCCGTGTTAAATGTTAAACTATGCATTAAAAAACTAGGTACGTACATAACATCTACAAGAAGAGTCTATCAGCTTCATCAGATTGTGTAAAGTTATGCAGGTGGAGCACAAAGAGCTAGAGACTTTTTTGGTAAGATAACGCCCCTCCCTCTCAAAGATGTAGTCGGGCCTCGGACCGAGCTTGCTCTGCTCACGAGATTCGAGTCGAGAAATACAACTATGACTGTGATGTCATCGTGAAAATGACGGCGGATACCTCGGTCGATGTCCTTCAAATCTGAATATCGCATTTCTCGCTTCTTAGCTGCATCCTGCATAGCAGCTTTTACCAATCTCTTAGCACTTCCCTGCATGAACAAAAGCAGTCATTTCAAATTTGGCGTTTTTTGTTCATCTTTAGTTTTTCATAACCTCCTTGTATGAGAAAACAATCGAAGGAGCACGTAGTTTAGTAGGATTTAGACATTAATACGTCCCTCGTGAACCGATAATACTTACATGATGTGGGTGAGTTCGAATAATATCCACAGCCTGCTGATTGCTAAGGTGCTCCCACAGACCATCAGAGGCAAATATGATGAATTGATCTTGTGGTCGAAGTTCATGCATCGATATTGATGGTTCACAGCTCAATATTGGCCGATTGAATGGTTCGCGAAGCCTAAACTTCGTATACAAGGGCTCCCTGTTGAATTCAGCCTTCTTTAGATAGGCATCGCCTATAGATCTGGAAACCTGCAACGAATCCGAAATGCGAACAACAAAATGCTCAAAACGCCTCATTCCATAATGTCAGGCAAACTCGACATATATAGCTCAGTATCCTACAAGTTGTACCTGCATTAAGCCTTTTACACGCCATACATTATGCTTCAAAACTACTATATGCGAGTCATCTGGGTGCAAAGCCTGCATCTCCCTTCTGACAGCTTCTATGCTCACATTATGCTCGGCTGATAGCTGAACAGCAACGACCTCCTCGGTCGCCTGCACGAGCCTTCCCAGCACGGCACGGGAATCTCCAAGATTGGCTATGTAAAGGGTGCCACCACAGATCACACCAACCAGACAGCATGAACCAACAGCTGCAATTTGGGGATTCATCTGCCATTGTTTAGCCACTAACGAAATAAACCCTTCCTCTGTAGCTTGAAATGCTTTCTTTATCACATCAGATGACATTGATTGTTGTTCTGTGGTGAACCCTGCATTTTGAAATGAAATGTTCAGCAGATACTCAAAAACATCATTTGGTTTAGAGTTCTTACTTTTCAAATGCTGGAAAAGATTGTCATATATGTAATTTGATGCTTCAGGTCCACCATGACCATCATAGACACCAATAAACGTTCCAAACGGCCCGGATTCGAGCAAGCTCAATGGACCCGATTCGATCTGGCTCTGATCCTCAAGCAAGTTATTAGCCTGGACAACAGCCATTGAAAATTCACCATTCATGTGATGTCCAAGATCTTTGTACCATAGTAGGCCTTCACGACGGCCTGCCGAATCCGAATTGCTGTGTACGATATTGTCCGAGGATGGCAACCAGCAAGCCCTCAGAAGGTTCATCAAGCTGGATAACATCCCTCATTTCATCAGCTCCACCCTCTTAACTCCACATTCAGAAAAGATCACAACACCCTTCTTTCTAAAAGCTCCCACCAGCCGTCTTTCCCAGCAAACTAAACAAAACAAAAAGAAGAACAGAAATCACTCACAATTCGAAGCAGCAAAACCCCTAAATCTGATGAATGGCTCCTATAATTTCCTATATTTCAGTCAACTAACTCGATGAACTACAAAAAATCCACAATAGAACAGAAACCTAGCATCTCTGATGCCTCAAATTCAAATTAAAACAGAGAAATTAACAAAAAACTCGCATAATCCGTTGACTTCATATCGAAATTAACAAAAGGGCTACAGCAATACACAATATCAAATACTCAAATCTACCCTCACGTTTAAATTCATAAAAACTAAATGACAAAGATGATTGAAAAGAGTAACACGAACTCACTCAGAAACTACGCTATTCGATCAGGTCGGTCAGCTACCGAATGATACCAAATGAAAACGATGATCCAAAAGGAACAGAGCAATACCCGTGGGTTCGAAAAGCGATAGAACCACGGATCGATCAAACAAGAACAGTACGCAAAAGCGGTTTCAAATTTATCTTCTGCTCTCTTTCTAGGGCACAACGAAAATTGAAGAAGAAGAAGAAGAAGAAGAAAAGCCCGTCAATCCGTGAGATGAAATGAAAGGGGAATTGAAATAGTTTGGTGGTTGGTTCTACCTGGCGTGGCACCAAGAACACGTCTAAGAGAAAACCAACAGCGATGGCGGAAAGGCATCAATACACAAGGGATTTCAATGGGCTCCATAAATATAAACCAGAGACACAGAAAGTGGATGCAAACGAGAGGCATAGAATAGAATAGAACCATATCATTGATCGTCGCCCATTATATTATTATTTTGCTTCAAATTTTGTTCCTTGCTTCTGTGTCCATTTTAGCCTTTTATTTTATTTTATTTTATTTTATTTTATTTTATTTTATTTTATTTTTGGAAACTCCTTGTAGATAAAATGGAAAATAAAAAATTAAATAATAATTAATTTATTCCATATAAATTGAAATTTATGTGGAGTAAATCAATTTTAATTGAAAAGAAGAAGATATTATTGAAGGGAAGTGAGAAGAGGACAGGTAATGAATACGTGGCAATCTTGGTTGAGTTATTGATAAAGAGCTCCCTCCCCTCGTGCTTGTTTATCCTCTTATCACTTTTTTTCTCTACACACGTGTCAACTCATTTAAGAGTCAACCTTGCCACGTGTTCCCTCTTTTCGTATCTCTAACTGCCTCCCCTCCTTTATTTAAATCATCACTATATATCCACGTACTCCCTTTAAAATTTAAATTTTAAAAATGACGTCACCTTTAAATTCAGATATATTTTAAAAAAACTAATACAAACACAAAAAGCAATTTAAAATTTAAAATACAAAAATGACGTCACCTTTAAATTCAAATATATTTTTTAAAAACTAATGCAAACACAACGACAAATTTGAGTATTTTGAATAAACTTTCTTTATAAAATTATTTATTTTATTTAAAAATGCTTTTGAAACAAAAATTTATTATTTAAATTTCTACCTACTCTTTGTTAGAATGAATAGTAAATAAAATTATTTACTATTCACTGTCGTGGAGAGAATATATTTCAAATTAGTATAATATTTTATCTCATTTTTAAGATTTAGTTGGTAGCTTGTATCGTATTTAAGGTTGTTAGCATTAATGAATATTGGACTTTAGATTTAACATAGTATCAGAGCATCATTCTTATTAATTTAAAAACACACATTTTTTTAAAATAAAAGTAATCCAAAGAACGAGAATCGTAATAAAATTTATTATTTAAATTCCCAAATACGGTAAAAGACATTGAATCAAGATGTCATTGTTTTTTTGTCGTTTCTCGATACAGTCGTGCTTGTTTTCAATTGATTTCTTCGCGTTTCCATGCTCTTTCGACATTAATGTATTTAAATTTGGTGTTTTTTTGTCGAATAATTTATTTAAAAAGTATAAAACAAAAATAGTATTGTAAAATAAGTGAGTGGGATGTTGACTGTAAATATAGGAAGATCCAAAGAGTTTATGTTGTATATGGGGAGAAAATGTGGGTTGACCAAATAATTGTAGGGAGAGGAGAAGAAGTAGGAGGAAATCAAATAAACTCAGGTTTGTAATCACTGTGTTGCCCAAGTAGGACCAAATCACACAGAGAAAAAGACTACAACCGCTCTTGGCCAAGTGATCACTGTCTTTCCTTGTATCTCTCCAACATGTGGCTTATCAATTTCTTTAACCTATCATAAATCAATAGCTAGCAAGGTTGGATCATCGTACTCGCTTTTCACTTGTGATACTCGTAGAACAAGAACAAGAACAAGAACAAGATGAAGAACATGCATCACATAGCAGCTAAAAGCAATCTTGTTGATTCAAGTCCTGAAACTGACCATAATGCCCCCCCTCTTTGCCCTAAGCCTCGCCGCCTCCGTCCTGCCATCCCTAGTTTCCTCGCCCCGTTTCGATGCGCCCATCGCATTCATAGGTCATTCTTGATAAAATTTTTATGTTCTAACTTTATAGGTTGATATTCTATGGCTTAATTTACTCTTGTCTTTCACCAGCCAATCTAGTAGTGATCCGAGAAGTGCAATCCTCAATATCATTGCAGGAAAGGTAAGGAAGTCGATTTCTTGATTCCTCAATTCCCTGATTCGTGAATGAGTTATGAAAAAACTACGAATGTTTGTGTTTGTAGGGTGTTGAAGGGAGAGATTGTTTGTGCTTGAATTGCTATCCGTCGTGTTATTCGGGATCTCCACCAAGAAGAACAGGGAATCCGCTGGTTCAAGACGTGTATTTTCTTCATCTAGTGGAGATTCAATCGCCATTTTCGAGAACCTAAGCTCTCTTAGAAGTTCAGTTTGACCTCTGCTTCCCCTCACATGAACGAAAGACACACAAAAGCCATTTAAGGAGTGGACAGACATATATTGATTGTTGTTTTATGTAGCTTTGTTAGTGAGTTTACTTACTTGTACAATCTTGATTTTCTTCAATTGTGCATCTTCGTAATTGTAAATAAATACAAACACGACACTTTTTGTTTCAATTTAGGCGACACAAATGTCTTGCTTTTTATAATGCTTTCAAATTTCGAATTCAAATTAACACGGTTAATAGATTTCTTATTTTTAATTTTATGGGACAGGTAAACGCCCTATACACTTAGGATTTAGATAAGGATTCAACACCTGATAGCTTCGACATTCCCCTGCATCCCCTATAACATGGTCCCATTACTTACTCCTCACTTCTAAAAGTGAACACGGTCCCCACAAAGCACACAAGGTTCTTCCAACATGTTTTGTCTTTCACATACATATAGAGTTCTTCTAACTTGTTAGTATAAGTAGTGACTTTCAATTCTTTTAATTTTTTTATGGTCATTGTATACTCATAATCACCCTCATAACTTTTATGTAATAAGTTCGTGAAGTTATTAAAAATTTAAAATTAAGTAATTTATAAAATTCAAAATTACTTCATAAAATTGTTAAGAATAGTCTTAAACTATCCCGGAATAGAAATAGTTCACTGACATCGCAACGTATCACTGTTCCCAAACACATGGGAAGCAGACGGAGGGTTGACCTGTTGGACAACAAAATAAATCCGTTCCAAGAAGGAAAAAGGAATAAAAATGAATTTGAAAAAGCGCGCTTCTAACTTCCTCAACTGTCGAATAAAAACAAAGTGGGTCCCATTTCCACCAGCCAATTCGTCCCCTCTCCCGATTCTCACTTCCACGCCAAGAGAACGAGATCTCTCTTCTCTTGGAACCCTAATTTCTCTCTGTTTGTTCTTCAGAAATGCGTTTCTTATACTGTATCTTTCTCTTCTTTCTTCTGATTTGTGCTTTTCGGAGCTCTCATGGCCGCATCTTTAGCTTCAAGATGCACCACCGGTTCTCCGAACAGGTCAAGAAGTGGTCCGGTGTTTCTGGAAAGTTGTCTCTCCCTGATTCTTGGCCAGCTAAAGGAAGCATTGAGTATTACTCTCAACTGGCCTTACGTGATCGCTACTTTCGTGGCCGGAGGCTATCCGAATTTGATGGACCGCTGGCTTTCTCCGATGGGAATTCGAGTTTTCGGATTAGCTCGTTGGGATTGTACGGTAGCTTTTTTTTTTTTTTTTTTTTCCCCCAATGATTTCCGTGATTGAGATTTTTCTCGTAACCTAGTTTGATGTTTTCTTTGTTTTTTTTTTTTTTTTTTTTTTTTTTTTTTTTTTTTTTTTTTTTTTTTTTTTGAGATTTTTTGCAGTCTGCATTATACTACCGTACAATTAGGAACTCCAGGAATGAAGTTTATGGTGGCACTTGACACTGGAAGTGATCTGTTTTGGGTACCTTGTGACTGTAGTAGATGCGCGCCCACGGAGGGCTCTCCTTATGCTTCTGTATGCTTTTCGTCGCTTTCTTTGGATTATTATGTTTTCTATGTTATTGATTCTTATTTTTCTTGCTTCTGAATTTTTTGCTAGTTTTCTTGGTGTAAAATTCATTGATTATTTTAAGTTCAGATTCTTCAGAATGATCCCGAATTTTTAACTCATATTGCTGCTTTCTGATGTTTGCCTGTGAGAGTTCTAGCTTCTACTCAGATGAATAATCAAACCATACACCATTCAAACTCGTAATCTTCTTAGTTTCATTTCTTTCCCTTTCTGTACCTTCTCCATTTAAACGGTGGTTTAAGAAATTTATGACAAGTGGTGTACTAATAAATAAAAGAAAAAAAATGACAGTATATATCTCCTGTCAGTTACTGAATTCACTGATGGCTTCTGTATGTTCAGAATGAGATACCTAGCTTCGGAAGTTAACTCTTCATCTTTTCAATTGTGCGATCATGCAGGATTTTGAGTTGAGTATATACAGCCCCAATGAGTCGTCAACGAGCAAAACTGTTCCTTGCAACAACAGTTTATGTGTACAACGTGATCAATGCATAAAGGCCTTTGGCAATTGTCCATATATTGTCTCCTATGTATCAGCCGAAACATCAACTAGTGGTATATTGATAGAGGATGTTCTACACTTGAAAACAGAATATAAGCATTCTGAACCTATCCAGGCATATATCACATTTGGGTCAGTATATGCTAATGCTAAGCTTAACTTGATTAGGGACCTTATTACCGGGCAACTCTTTTATGCAAACTGTTCTTATCTGCTCATGTGGTTGCCCTGCCTTTATCCGTCTGTGCAGCTGTGGGCAGGTACAGAGTGGCTCATTTCTTGATGTTGCAGCTCCCAATGGCTTGTTTGGGCTCGGTATGGAGCAAATATCAGTTCCTAGCATATTGTCAAGAGAAGGTTTTATGGCAAATTCTTTCTCTATGTGCTTTAGCGACGATGGAGTTGGAAGGATCAATTTTGGAGACAAGGGTAGTTCAGAGCAGGAAGAAACCCCATTTAACCTAAACCAATTACAGTAAGTGTAGTTTTGGAGTTGCCAAATATCAATATTTCATGGGTTCAACGTCTATTTCTCTATTCATCAAGTTAATGGTATTTCTATTTCAATTTCAGCCCAACCTATAATATCACAGTTACTCACATTCAAGTAGGCACTAATCTGATTGATGTGGATATAGCTGCTCTTTTTGACTCTGGAACATCTTTTACGTACTTCACTGATCCGATCTACTCCAAGCTTTCAGAAAGTGTGAGCACTTCAGTTCATAAATATTTGACATTTATCCATTATAATTGGATTATTTTTGAATTGTATGGAACTTATTTACATTCTCTTTTAGTTTCATGAACAAACAAGAGATGAACGCCATCCC